GCTTAATAATATGAAACTTTGTTGCTTATCCCTCTTCCTAAGTTTTACATTATATACGGATCGATTGTAGATTAATTTGTACATCATAAGGTTTTTTAAGAGAGATTTTTTTATAATATATATTTTGTTAATTAAAAATTATTGAAGTATCAATATTTATGGAAATCACGGACAAACAAAAGTCATTTAAACATTAAAATCATTCTATGCGCACTTTACATGTTTAATTATTTTTATCGCAACTTTAAACGTTTATATAATTTTACGTGGACTTTAAATATTTAATTAATTCCATGAACATGTTATACGTTTAAATGTGTTCATATGTAAGCTACTTTTATGTTCAAATCTTGCCATGAGCACTTTACGTGTTTAAACAGCTTCATGTGCTATATAAATGCTTAATTGGCTCTTAGTTGGCGAATTAATTCGTCAACGTATTTTAGGGCATTAAGAAAGTAATTCCTTCAATTAGACAGATAATTAAATTTTGGATATTGATAACCGAAGTTGATCTGTTTTTAAAGCTGAATGTAGAAGTTGTTAATCACAAATTTCTATATTAGTAAAATATTTTTATGCTAATAAGGTATACTGCAAATACAGTATGTCTATTTTCACCGAAAATTAATAGAAGTAATGAAAAACTAACACACCCATTGCTAACTAGGCTGAGAGAGCGACACGTTATATTGACAAACGTTACTCATCTATGATTCATTGCTTTAGAATTTAGCCTACACAAATGTTGATGTTTATTTTCAACAGTTGCCATCACAGGTTACACCTGCCAACTCACAACAATAAGTGCAGTTTAAACTAACATTTTATTGCCCATTGTTACAGTATAAATGTCATTAACAACGAGGTTTCATGAATACCTGTGGGGTGATTGTTTAGTAAAAAAATATTCCACTTTTACTTTTATGTAATTGTGAAAATGATATTATTTTAGTTTCAAAAATGTTTCAATTAGTGTAATTAGGGTGACATCGCAAAATCGAGGGTTGTACAGGTTATCCGGTCATGTTAGTTCATAAACTCGTAAATAGCGATAACCAGAAAGATTAGATTTGTTGAACTTTGGAGACGAATTGTTAAACAGGTAATGGAATAAGGCCAGTGATAAGATTTCTTCACTCGGTAGTTAAGAGTAAACTAGATAAAACCAATGGAAAATTAGAATGTATCTTTTAAAACGAATGTTTTGCGGCAAAAGTGTAGTGGTTGATATGAAATATTTTAACAATTAATTGCTTTTCGGATAACCGTTAACTAATGGTTAAGGGGAATGAGGGCAAAGATAGATTTAACAATATTTGAAGAGTTCACTAAGGGTCAAAAAGGAAGTTGATGGTTATTAAATATCCCGGTTTTTGAAAATTAAGTCACACGATGTTTTGAATAACGATTTCGTTGCATATTGAATGATTGAAACAATTTAATTTGTCAAAAGGTTTCGGTAAAAGTACACAGGTAGGCCTAATGTCCTAATCCAGCTTAATAGGGATACAAGAAAAATAAACTATCACCCTGCGATGAGCTATGTACTAAATACTGCATTACTTTACCTTCAGGCCTAATACATCTTGTATAGAAAAGACAATTGTTCCTACAGTATAAAGCAAATAGGTACTAGAGTCAACGTGAGTTCATTGAGCAGTTCTCAAAAATTTACACTCATCAATATTGTCCTGAAACCGACAACCAACGAATAGGACAGATGAATCTGCGAGGGCAGGGCAGAGTTTACAACTGTTCTAAACTTTTTCTGATGGCGTATTTATCAAAGCTTCTAAAAACATAGTTCAGCTAAAATCAATGTACAAACTCATGTAAATGTACAAATTCCTTGTACAAACTCCACAAACTTGTCCCAGCGTGGGGTTCCATCCTAAGAACTGGGCGGTTGCATTTGCAAGGTCAAAGGTCAATTGTTTGACACAATGGTACCAACAATGCAATGACGTGTCTGGTGCAAAGTGCAGACACATTAGTTCCGGTCTGTCACCCCCACTTCCGGTCTGTCACCCCCCACTTCCGACCGCACACACTTCCACACTCCACTCCGTCATTTCTGTCACCGCAAAGCGTTTATTACGAAAAATAACTGCTGTTTGGAACAGTCATCAGATGGATTTGCATCCTAGACAGTACTGACTTAGTTGAAACAATGAAAACTACATTCTAACAAAGTTCTTTTGACCGTAAATAGCTATTTGTGTATTAAGAACGCAAAGTTCGCTATTGCTGCTCCAGAACTGTAGATAGCTGCACTAACCTTTAGCTAAGTGTGGCCATACATACATAATACATGATACATGATAAATGTTGCGTTATTTCTTACTGTTTTGTTAACTAACGTACCAGATCCACGGGTGTGGTTGGTCAAGAAACAACAACTGGGAAATCAGAGCGGCAATGAGCTGTTTTGCATACGGTTTACAGGTATACGATCATTTCCATGCAGTGGTAGGAAAACACACTTTCTGGATAGCTAAAATGCTATAATAATTGGATGTAGAACCAACTTCAAATGGATACTTATGGATTACTGTTCCTCTTTAGATGGCGAAGTATACTGTATCGCATTTATATCGTACAAGAAAATGTTAAGGTCAGTTCCGATTTGTCTCCCTCCGATCTCACACACATCACACGCTTCCCTCAGTCTATGATGTTGTTTGGGATTGTGATTGGGTGTTTGTAAATGCCAGAGTGTACTATTTGTAAAGAATCGATGACAAAGATTCCATAATCAATAAGTATAAACTGTATATACATATTTTACTGGTGTGTTATCTTAGCTTAGCAAGCTTCATGTTCTGTAGACTCAAGACAAGTGATTTTCCAGGGAATATTCGTATTGAGCGCTGTTTCAAGTGAATGTCTTAATTTATGTGGCTATTATCGTCGTATTAGTAAATTTACCATCATGAAAACACAATTAAAATGACTTTCGATTTTACAATAGGATGAGAAATGTAATTACTATTTGGAGACAATGGACGGAGTGAAAAGTGATGTGTTATAGCTTTCTATTCTATGTGTTATAGGGTAATCTATTATAGAGTAAGCTTAGTTCTCGAGTTGGATATTCGTGAGAATTTATATAACTCGATGGTATTGTAAAACCACCGATGACCGTAGACAAGGATTATAAGTTAGACTAGACGTATGGTATGCAATCTTAATCTACAATATTATGAAGAAGACATAGTATTCTACTGAAATACACAAATTGATACTTTGATCCAGTCTGTAAGCAACTTTTGTGGTAATGCCTTTTCACGGTCATTAATATATCGCGAGGCGTTTCGAAATAAAATAAAAGTTAATTGTTCTCTTTACGCCGTGATTAAGGATGTTTGAAGTTACTATCATTGACTTTATATCGTGTAGAGATATAAAGTCAATGTTACTATTTACCATTGTATCAATAAAGTTTATAGCATTACTGTCAGTTACACCATAGACAATGAGACCTGGGGTATTGACATTGTTGATCGAACCTTTTGGAATAATCTTTTAAACAATCTAAACTTACTATCAATACAAAATCCAAGTAAATAATTTGGAAAATTAAAAAAAAAAAAATTTCAGAAATTGCCAATGGTTTTTTTTAAGGTACGAGTATTATAAACCTATTTTTTTGTTTAGTCAATAAATGTAATGTGAATATAACTTCCACCCCTGAATGGAATTACATAATTTTTACCTAGTGATAAATTTTCCTCAATAATTCTTTAAACATCTTCAACAACATTGTAATTTAAACATAATTTCTTTACTAACCTTGGATTTTGGTAAACGCATTGCTTACATCTACAAAACGTATAGATTGTTTTGTTTAATAAATCAAATACGAAAATCAATAAAAAATTCGAAAGACATACCGGTAACTAATAATATTTAAACAAAAGAATATTTTATGCATATATGTTAAATATTTATTATATATTTTTAGATAGTATGTAATCCTTTCATCTGGCTAAACTGTGTGTTTATTATAGATGTAATGTATCACAATTTACCTACGAACTTTTAGATAGTAGATACTTTATTTAACAATTAATTCTCAAATGAAATTAGGTGTTTTGTTTTATTCATAAAGTTACTTTGTTAAAAAAAACAATCAATAACCTTAAGTAGAATTTCCATGAGAAAATATCAGTTTAAAAACAAATTAAAAGTTCTAAGTCGTCCATCCTGTGGCACTTGCCTGTTTATAAATGTGTATGAGCTGGCTTCTGCTTCAGCATAATGAATATTTATTAAAACACTGCCCTTTGCTTTATTTATCGTCCAGAGGCTAGATGAAACTTTTTATCCTCGAAATATTCTAATGAATATTCACAGTACTTACGACGCATTGCTGAAAAAAGGGTGTGAAACAGTTGTGAAAATAATTTTTTTTAACTATTAATTTGGGAAATTGAGTTTTTACCAGAAGTTTGCAGTGAAACATCCCTTATTTGTAGAGGTGTTTATTTTGCGAATAACTCAAAATAACGAATATGTTATTAATGAGAATTAGTTATTTGGTAACAATGATAAGGTATGTTAATTTTAGTGGAGAGTTTATTCCCTAAAATACATGGGAAAATAATATAGGGTTAACATATCAAAAACGAAAAATTTTTGAGGCTTTTAATTCTAAAAAGTCATTCTCTGCGAAAATATTACCTTACGTATTATCTTGGTGTAATGATGTATGTTGGAAAATACGGCTAATTTCATGGTGTCGTATATACTTAGAGTAAAAGCTAGTCCACAATATTTCAAAAAGGTTGACTTACATTTATATATTTTTAATGTTGAAATACTTCTTGATAATTAATACCTAAAGGATCTTTTAAGGAGCTCAATTATTTGGGCACATAGTCCAGCAAAGTCAATTAAATGTCCAGGTAAGTGTTTACCAGCTTAAGTACGAGACACGTTTTCCCTTGTTTTGCTATCATCTCGTGCAAGGATTACAAATGCATCTTCGGTTTTAGGTGACAACAACACAAGTGACAATGAGGTGCTGTGTCCTCCAGACTCCACCCTGGACGGCCAGTGTATCTGTGACTCCAGCAGATGCCCTCACCCCACAGTCTGTGACGCCCCTCAGGTGCTGGAGAGGACCGTGGCCTCAGGTCTGCCCGGAGACTGCTGCGACAAGTACGAGTGCGTCAGTCCTCGAGGTGGGTTTAGAAGTGTAATCCTCTAAATAAGTAAGAAGGGTGATTTTAGAGCAAAGGAACGTACAGGGACTACGGGCCTGAGACTTAGACCGTACCACGGGCTTCAGCGAACTATCTCCATGTCAACACATTTCTTTTAAAAACTGATAGCACGTTATATAGGCATAAAAGAACAATATGCATATCATCTCCGTAAACTCCGTTTTACCAATCTTTAAAAGTCTGAGTCTTGAACTTAGGTGCGGGAGAAGCTTAGACTGTTTTTTTTTCATCAAACACATTTTGTGATTGATCAATTCAAATTTCCATCAGCGTTGAAAATAGCAAAGAGTGATAATAATGTTTCTTCCCTTACTTATCTCTAGCTCCACACCGTAAATAAACCTAAAGTTACTAGGACCTACTTTTCGCCCACAGCCACTAACTCCACGGACACCGATGACATGGTCTGCCCAGAGGACAGCTACCGTCTCCGCAGTGTCGGCTGTCAGTGTCTGCCCGCTCCCTGTCTGGTCAAGGTCTGCCCCTCAGGCACCTGGGCAAAGATCGTGCGACCCGGCACGGGCAAACCTGGAGCTTGCTGCCCACTGTACGAGTGCGTGACCGCAGGTAAATAGAAATATTGTTAAGAATCATGTTTTAGCCTCTGAACTGTTATATAATTTAAATAGATTTTACAGTTTACATCTCACTTTTCGTTACGGCCGTTCCATCATCAGACGTGAAAAAAATCACTTGTGTTAACAGTAAATTAATGAAGATACAAGATTTCAAAATGGGGCAGCATGCCTTAAAACTATAGTACTCCCAAAAAACGACTAAGATTGAGACGTGACAAGGTTTTAAACCTATTTATTAGTAATATATTACAGCTAAAGCATTGTCGTCATGGTCGAAACACACAGCACTCGATGGTTTCTCGAGTGAGGCAATTGCAATTTGCACTCGATTTGCACATTATATTTTTCCTACAGTTGCCATAAAACAAATAAACTGGTAAAGAACCGTGACATATTTTTACACAGAAGTGAACTTTTAATATTACATTTAATGATACAACAGTACAACAGCTGAAAAGCTGATTTACAGCCAGTGGTGCCAACGAATTTCGCGCGCATACGACCTTGTCTGCATGTTACGCACTCACTATTTCGTGCCTTCACGTTGCAAATCTGGAGTGAGTGAGACAAAGTAATTAGAGTGAGACAATGTAAACATTGTCTCACTGATGAGCGAATTAGCGACTTTGCTTTCTCAAATCAGTGAGGGAACATGTACATTGTTAGGTAACTGTAGGAAAAAGCGTTTTTTGTAAATCAATGCGAATCAGGCAAGATACAAAATCAATCCATTATATTATCAATCACTGAGATGGGGTGCGTAGCTTAACCCAATAATTGTAGAATAGTGTGATATGCTGATGTAGCATTGATACTGACTAGGATCAGCTGTTTAATTAGACAGGATCATTAATTTAAAGCCTAATGATCAGTAACAGCTGGGCCCAGTTTCAAACCATCAATAAGCTACTGACATTTCTCAGGATCGAACCGGCGACTTTGTCACTGTTAGGCTAGCAATATGAACACTCGGTTACCCAGCCAGGCTTGGTACACAGACCTAATAAAATAAGGAAAATTATAAAACTACTTGATTATGAGAGGTTAAATTAAGCTCATACATGATACTGATACACTACGAGACTTAAAGAAAATAAGATTGTAAACCTATTATGCTGTAAGATTTGGCCACTCAATAAAAATTAGACTAAATGACCGAACCTCTAAAACTATGAGACAGTAAGATCACGTGACCTAAGTCACCGTAAAACTATCGGACTAAGATTACGAGACTGATAAGTTGTGACACTTTAATACCACTGTAAGACCAATAGATAATAACACTGTAAAATAACGTCTCTGTAAGCCTTTCAGATGGTAAGTTTGAGAGGTTGAAGGTTATTATTATAAAACTTAGTTTGTTCCAATTTAACACAATACGATCCTTATCAGATTACAAGATCATGAGATTGTGAGATTAAGAGACTGATCTCACATGTTACTTGGGGAGGCGAATTTTTCTGATACATTTGTAGCACTTTATACTGACATGGACAACAATGCTAATGCATCGGTTTGCCATGAGACTGTCGAATCCGTTACTGCCATTGGGACGTAACGCCCAAACTATCGGACCTGTGACTTTGGCCTTGCTCCAAACAAGAATAGAACGCACCTGTGAGAGATTATGCACCTTAGACACGTTTTCGATATCTTGTTGTTATGCATAAAACGTATACTACTTCAGAAAAAAATCTTAAAAAGCAAATGGGACTAAATAAGGTGATAAGAGTTTCAAGGATTTTCCTTATTTACAGGTTTTTACTATTTTGCTTAGTTTATTTTGTTTTCAGGCACACACTATTTGAAGTCTCCCTTTATCATGAAATATTTTTATGTTGGCGAGTATTGTATTTGTTAGATTACTGATACAGTTTATTTGTGTTTCCAATACAAAAAAAAACAACATTTTTTTGTAATTTTAAATAATATACAATTACTATAGAAAATATTTCCAGGGTAAAGTGATTTTATCATAATGCTTATTATTGATAAACCCAATATGCAATTTTATATTGCTAACATAAACTTTCGTCTAGAACACCATGTTTTACGATATTTTCAGAATGTAGATACAATTTTAAGATTAATTAGATGATGAGTACTTACTCGTTGAGGAGCTACAGGATGCAGAATGTACACCCTGGTGCTAAACGAGTGGCCCTTCTGTTCAACCTGTATATTAATTTGAACAGATGTTCTCTGGGACACCAAAACAAAAAAGTCAAGTGGTCCTGGGTCTAGTTCTTACCCTGAGACCTACGACAAAACAGGTTATTCCCTATATGGGAAATTTTCTAAAAACATCTTAAGCCAACTCGAAAACAATAATTAAATTTTACGATCAAATAACAGTCGTTATGATAAACAGGCCTAAACAAGCGAGTCATTGACTGTTTTAAAACAAGATCCCTAACCAAATGACCTCTCTATATAGTTACATCATAACTACACCTTTTTTAGTCATATAGTTGTTGGTATGTTAAATAACCGTGTATTTATTACAGTATTAAATATCATGAAAGATAGAAAACATCCACAAATAAAATATGCATTATGATACTTAATGAATTTACATTACATTTTCCAGATTCCAACTCGACTTGTATCGACAACGGCACCCTGATGCAGAACGGTTCTTCCTGGTTCCGACCGGACTGTACCCAGTGCCGCTGTGAAGGAGGTCTCACCTTCTGTGTGCCAGTGGGGCGGATGCCTCAGAACTCCTCTATCTGTAGGCCTCTGCCCCCAGACTGTACCCTCAGCACCGTGCCAGCTGGAGAATGCTGTCCTGTGTGTGTCAGTAAGTAAACCATTGGTGCTACCGTACTATTCATACCATACCTCTTGTAGATTGAACAATGAACATACTCACTCCAACATAAACTTTCCATACAGATCAGCTGACGACAGCTTAATAGCTATTTCTGAGCAGTTTATGTAGGGGACTATGTTTTATCATAGACAAAAAACTTAAATATAGACCGTCAGCTGTGCTGCGGTTACCATAGGTTCTGGCGCACACCGCTGGGAGCGCCATGTAGTTACGGCCTACAAGCTACGTTACATCCCGGCGCTCCCAGCGGTGTGCACCAGAACCTATGGTAACCACTGCAAGGCTGACAGTCTAAGAGTAAGTAGGGCATATCTGTTTGTTTTTATTTGATCAGCTTTAAAACAATTTTTACTAAATATAACAATTCATTAATAAAGTAATGCTTAAGGAAAAATATGAGGAAACAGCCATAAAATCAGTACCGTAGGAGTGTAAAAATGTTGTGTAAGCGTCATTATGAATAAACTATCAGATCCAGAAAAAACACGATGAATTTCGGATTCAATGTGTATTTTTGGTTACTGTCATTCAAGAGCGCTTAGGACTACATTTTTCATTCTTATTTTAGGGTAGATAAAAATTCCTACTTTATTCTTTAACCACGATTTCAGACATTAAATGTTTTAAAAACATATTGTTATTATGTATATTTAATGATAAAATTTATATAATTATTTTGAATGTCAAGATATTAAAAACGTATATTTTTAGATGTGATCTGAGTGCATACAATTACCATACAAATACATTTATTTTAAAAGTGATTTTATTATAAAGTTTAATATTGATAAACACCTCAAATAATAAAGATTTATTATTTCAATTCGTAAAAATTAACGAAATGTGTAAAAACTAAAACTCCTAATAAAAATCTAATGTTATATTATAACCCTGCTTTCTATACCGAAAGTACAATTGGATCTTGGTCATGATTTTTTAATTAGATATATTAGTCCCTACTTTGTGATAATGTTGACCTGGCCACAGCTGATTACATTAGCATTGCAGAGTCGCATTACCATATTGGCTGAACTAATGGCTTTAAAAAATAATTACTTTTCAGTGCAACAGTTTTTTTTTTTTTTTTTTTTTTTTTTTTATAAGGTCCTTATTTAAAATGTTTAAACAGTACATCATATCAACATGCTGTAGAAGAGACACACATTTAAAAAATTAATATGCAATTATTTTATACCAAATCTCATGTCCCTTTATTAAAGTTTTAAATCAGTGAGGAATGGAATTATTCCACTATATTTTTGTGGCAGTTAGAAGATACAAAATAAAAAATTGAATATGATTTTGCGTAAATTTTTAGATGTTTTAGCATACTAATTTTTAAAATCAGTACTTTCTTACCATCATGGCTGGACTAATTTTATTGTATCCAGTCAGAATGTATATGATATTAGACTGTTTTGTATCATATTAAGTATGCAAGGCAGAAACAAATTAAAAAGAACTAAAATGAATCCATAAATATTTTTCTAGTAAGTCTGTCAATTGTTGTTATATTTAGAATAAAATTCATTATTTTAACATAGACAATGTATTTTTTTTTCTAAAATAAAATGTTTTGGCAATACTAGCTCTTAAATTTCAGTATTTTATACCAACTCTTCTATTAATCATTTACCTATTAGAAACGTACGTGTCACATATTAAGTAATAGCATTTTGAAACATGTTGGTATTATTGAAAGATCAATAGGGACACCACTGTTGTAAACCATACTTTTATCATTCACTAAATGGTTTAAACATTTTTAAACGTAATGCACTCAAAGTGAAGAATTAAAAAAAGTACAATACATTTTACATGTTCAAAGGAGAAAATATGCAGTTTCGGCAGGTTAAACTTTCCTAACTGTTAACACTATTTTACCTTGAGTAAGGTCATATAAAACTGGACTCTGCCTCATTAATTTGCAGGTAACCCCGATGACCTGGACACCCCTCCACCCCCTGGCAGCTGTGTAGCCCGCCTCTATGGCAAGATCATACCCAACGGAGGTTCCTGGCAGGAGGATGACTGCACGTCCTGTGTCTGCAAGGATGGACAGAGACAGTGTCAGGCGTATATGTGTGAAGCTTGTGCCAACCCTCAGTATGAACCTGGCGAATGCTGCCCAAGGTGTAATGGTTAGTCGTTCATTGTTGTATGATAAGGCGGTACAGCTTATTAGAAACAAACTTTGAATGTGGGTACTGAAGTTGATTATTGAGATAAAGTCATTAAAATATGTAGTTTTCTAGTTTTCTTGATGATTCAGGATCTGCAATCAGATCATGATTTCAGGTAAGGAAGAACATACCTAATAGCAGCATTATTCCAATTTAGTAATTCACTAAACCACACTAGCAGGAATACCACACAGAACACTGTGTAGTAGTCAAAACAAGATACACTACCGGTAACTTAAAAAACAATGTAAACACCAAACAAAAATATTTCGGTAATTTCATTGCAGACGACGGCTGAACTGTTTTGTTTTGTTAGTGATTTTGATTTTGCTAGTCAAATGAAACACTAACGAACCAAAAAAACGTGTCAAATAACAAACTTTATTGAGTTAAGTTAAATCGGAAAAATTCACCAAATTTATTCGAATATAGCTTATTAAGAACTACACGAAAAAATAAATACGTGGTACAAAAATCAGATTTTTTAATGCTGTAATAAAAAAGCCTTTTATTAACATAAAATTAGCAAAGAATTTTTAAAAGTCAGTACTGAGTCCTCAACTTCGTTTCGTCCAACCAAATAATAAGTAAACTATCTTGTTATAATTAACTAAGCATCAATTTTTGTATGCTAAAGTAAACACCCACATGGTCACTAACCAGCTTAAAAGTTAACCAGCTGTAACTAATCATCTTGCTAATACTATAAATGTGAAAGTTTGTGTGTTTGTTTGTTTGTTTGTTTGTGTGTTTGAAGTTCAATCACGCATAAACCACTGGACGGATTGGGCTGAAATTTGGCATGATGATAGCTTACATTCCCGATTAACATATAGGCATATTCTTATCTCAAAAATCCTTTCGGGCTCCACAATAGTGGCTCTGTAATTCCCCATGTTAACCTTATGAGTATTCATATTTAAAGGGAATTAAAGAATTTAGTCAGCTGTTTCAACTAAAAAAGTTGGTTCCATGATTTATGTAAAAACATTAAAAAGTTATACGATTTACCAACAGGGTGCAGCACTATAATTTTTTTGCATTTATGAAAACATCCAATTTGAACTAAGCAGCAACAAAAAACTGTGATTCACAATGAGAACTGTCAAAGTAGGATTGTTTACAGTTATGTTTATGTTTTTCATTTCATGAATAATTTGTGATATTTTCCAAATTGTTGATAATTTATTTTTCTCTGTTGTTTGGGTGAAGTGGTAGAACATTACATGGCTATGGTAGATGTGTAATACTAGCCTATAGAATACTGTAAATTTAAAAAAGCAAATTTTATCAAACTGTGTTCTCCCTTATTGCAAACGCAAAGCTTGAGTATAACTGCAATAGGCATTTTATACTTATATTCCAACCCCGTACGAAGTACGGGTACTCTGCTAGTTATTTAATAAAAAGAACAAGTTGAATGAGTAAAGCTTAAGAGTTTTCTTGTCCTTTTCAGCTTTCATATTTTTTTGTTATATCAATCTGAGCTTTTAAGAAACAAATTTAATTATGGATAGAAATTAATATTTCATTCTCTTGTTAAAATAGAGGCCGGTTTTAGAATGAATAGAAACAGTTTAACTAACTCTTGAACAGTGTGCTGCTTTCAATTAATATTTTCTGACAAAAACACAAAATTGTTTGTCAAACCACAGTCAAAAGTCATATTATTGTTCTTTATCATATAAACTATTAAATTATGAAAACTATAGTAATAGTTCTCGCTATGAGTGCCTTAATTAACTGTTTTACAGCATAACTGCATGGGTAACTGTTTGTGTGTCATCCATTGTGATTGGCGTTTGCCGTTTGCATGAAATAAATAAATAAATACACAAAATAGTTTCAGTGTTGCTGGTTTATATAACAGAGTTTTCCCACCTGACATCTGTCAGTCGATGACAAAACTTAAATATAATATAGTAAAAAATATTTTGTTTAAACTGTAAATAAATATTTCTATACATTTGTTTACAGGTTCCGTCATAGTAACTGTCCCCTCACATTGTCCTTCTCTCGACAACTGCTCTCTGCGTTGTGTTCATGGGTTTGTCAGGGACATCAACGGTTGCTTTACCTGCCACTGTCAGCAAGGTAGGAACCAATACTATTTTATTTTATTTTTATTTGCTATAATTATTAATATAAAATATAATCATTAATTTTATAAGTTAGTCCATACAATTATAGCCTTCACTTTTTTATTGACAGAAAATTCCTCATGATGCTGCAGGATAATATTTTTCCTCAGTGATTCTAATCTTTTCTCTAAAAAAAAAAACTTATTTGGCTCAGTGATTCTGTGATTTTGTCTCTTCTTGAACACGTTTTTATACTGGTACAAAATTTATAATTGCCCATAAAATTGATTAAAATACAAATTCCCTTATATTGGCAACAAATAGTTTTTCTTGTCTTGTGTGAAGTTTTCATGAAATGTTACAGAATATTCTCCACTATCTTTTTATTTAGTTTTGTCATAGTCTCTAAACTGTTTCTAAACCATTTTACCTGTAGTTTTAATCCTTGTATGCTACCTGCATCCATCCAAGTTTATCAACTGATTCGATTTCAGACGAGTGCCTGCTGGAGTGTGAGCACGGTTACGCGCAGGACAGTCACGGCAACAAGCTGTGCAAGTGTGCAGAACCCAAGTGTCCTCCGTTGACTTGTCGCAAGGTCTGTCCGCACGGCTACCGCATCAACAAGGCAGGTTGTGAGATCTGCAGGTGTGAAACATGCAAACCTCTGGACCAGTGCACCAAGCGATGCGCTCACGGCCTGATGGTCAACTCCAACAACTGCATTATGTGCAAGTGCATACGTAAGTCTAACATGGGAATAATGAGTAATACACGGACATCTCCGGTATATATTGTTCAATAGGGTAGCAAACTAGCTGAGCACACTAGAACAAGTGACCAAGGAATATCAGAACTTGACTGTTATAACCCGTCGCTTTGGTTATTTTGTTATGATTTGCCCTTGGACTAATGTAATAACTACATAACATCTACTGATGTGACGCTCAGTCTTGTTGATAGTGCCCCCCTCATCACTTCTTCGTGATGGATACAATCTATATCATGTTTATCATGAAATATCAGGGCTACACAATAGTGTCATGTGGTATATTGTGCCATCATGAAGTCACATGGGGTATCATATGGTATATTGTGCCATCATGGAGTCTCATGGGGTATCATGTGGTATATTGTGCCATCATGGAGTCTCATGGGGTATCATGTGGTATATTGTGCCATCATGGAGTCACATGGGGTATCATGTGGTATATTGTGCCATCATGGAGTCTCATGGGGTATCATGTGGTATATTGTGCCATCATGGAGTCTCATGGGGTATCATGTGGTATATTGTGCCATCATGGAGTTACATGGGGTATCATGTGGTATATTGTGCCATCATGGAGTCACAGGGGTATCTTGGTACCATCCTTGGATGTGGCGCTAGCCTAGTGGTTAGTGGCTCAAACTTCATCGCGAAAGCAACAGATTTAACCCTCCAGTATAGTATACAGCAGACTCAAAGTCTGCACATTTTAAAAAGCGTGCCGAAATAAGTGAATCCGCATGCGAATGACATGAAGTGCCATCTACCTTCCCCCACTAACTTTCCAAGGACAATTGCGGTGGTCAGTTGGCCCTGAGCTACGAGGGTGTAAAGTTAGGCACGCCCTGTTTCAAGATAATAAAGAACAGGCCAGCCATTGACTAATTGGTTTTCAACAGGACATTTTTAATTTTTAATATTTGTAATATTTTTTGAAATTTATCGATAATTATTTACCTATATTTGGATTATTTGAAATTTTAATGCTATATGAACTTTATTATGTATATAAAAGAGCGTTACCAATAAGAAGTAAGACGTGGAATGCCAGTCCGCACGTGTGAACTGGTGTTACTATAAGCCGCGTGTGTACTGAAGGGTTAATCCCAGGTGAATCCACAATAGTTTAATTTGTTTACACCCCTTCCCCTTTTAGTGGAAGGGGAAAGCAAATAAAAATTGTTTATTTTATTAAAAATACTATTGGTACATGTGAATCCTTTTTTATTGAAAACTATCCTAACACCAACACCATTTTGTCTCATTAGAAGCTACTACTGTTTTCTTTTATTTCCATCAATCAGGGGTGTAGTTGGCAATAATAATAATAATAATAATAATAATAATAATAATAATAATAATAATAATAATAAACCATAATCTTATTGTAAAAAAAATTATGAAACTTGTTTACAGCTCATGGCGGACTTATTGGAGGCATATCCAACACAACTGACACAACTGTAGGAACACCCTGTATATCAGGTAAGAAACTTAAATCTCAAAATAGTAAATAGGCCTACTAGAAGACTACAATAAGAAAGACAAATACCCCCGTCGAAGCAAACGTGCAGAATAAGCAAATTTCCATTTGCCAGATTAGATTTACTCTAAAATATCTCCTTAAAAATATCACATTTATTCCCTATTTAAATATCATTGGTTTAACGAGGGTATAGGTTTGTTGCGACAGGGGAGGGTAAACAGTGTTTTTAGTGTGTGAAATGTTAATAGTTTAGAATGAAATAAATACATTTTCCAAAATGTATCAAAATATGTTCATAAACAAGCAAATTACAACAGTTTACTTATTCTCCATTAAATAACTTAGGAATTTAAATTTAAAAATGTTTGGATTTTTCTCTGTAACCAATAGGCACATAATAACCCTTCAATATACTAAATTATTTGTTTTTCAAGCTCTAAAAATTAGTTTGGAAATGAGTTGCAAAACTTTGTTTGTAGGGTCAAAAATGGGAAAACCAATTTTTACACTATAAAACCCTCCATAAACCCCCGTTCCCATAATCTGAACATGCTGGTTCGCAAACGTGTTCGAATAAATGTAGGTTTACACTTTTATACAAAATTTCATCAAAATTTGATCTTTTTTTTAGTTATTGCGCTAATGGACACATGAACTTGAACTGATGGTGTTAATTGGCCACCCAATCATTGTACTAAAAACTAATTTCATCTAGCTCAATTTAAAGTGTTGGTTTTATAAAAATAGAACATCGAGGCATGGAGCTTGAAAATTATAAGTAATATTAAATTATAGAAACAACAATGTTTTTGTTATTATCTTTTGTATTGTGTCCTTTTCAAGTAAAATAACTTCAGTAACTTGTCGATCAAAATGTTATAGACAAGAAAAATTTGTTTGAATGACAAAAATAAAACCATTGTGAATGTCTTAAAATGTTCCGAAAACTTGTATTGTGGTTTTGCAGACAGTAAAGTGTGGCGGGACGACGGTGAGACCTGGTTTGACGGTTGCCGCCAATGTTACTGTCTCTCTGGAAGAGAAATGTGTTCTCTGCTGAGCTGTCCTCCCATCTCATGTACCAACCCTGTCTACAACTCATCCAAGGATTGCTGTCCAACTTGTCAAGGTAACCAAAATACATAACACATTTTACGGAGTTATATATTTTAAACTTTTAAATTAATGTGTATTGACAGTTTGTATTCATATCCATTAAGGCACTGGTAAAATGTGTTAAAATACAATTTTTTTTTCTGTTGTAAAACCAAATAGGATATTTTGAACTAGTGTTCGAAATCGTTGGAAAATTCGAGGTTGGAAATACGCAAGGTTTAAAAAGGCAAATCTTTATCATAATATCATACTTTAACATAGTCACAATAAAAATAAAATCATCTTTTTAGATAAGCTGCCAAAATTATTCCAAACTTGTTTTGCTTTAGCCTCTCTTTTTTTCTCTAAATTTTTTATGCACTTTTTAGACACAAAATATGAAATATTGTTGGCCAGCTTGAATGATCATGCAAATTAAAACAAATTGACATTCAATTTACACAAAAATGACTACAACCTGTTGCCATAGGTACAGACTTGGTGCCGGTCACTCACATGGTGTGTCAGGGAGAGACTCCAGGCAAGCTCTACAAGGAGGGGGAGACCTGGAGACTGTCTCCCTGTGTGGAGTGTGTGTGTCAGAGTGGCAGAGCTCTGTGTCATGCAGCCTCCTGTCCCCCCACTCCCTGTAGGCGACCACTCCACCCTCCTCCGGGCGAGTGCTGTCCTGTCTGTGCTGCTGAACAGCTTGCTAACTTTTCGTGAGTATATTAGAAACCTTTTTGAGTGTGTGTCAGAGTGGTAGAGCTCTGTGTCTTGTAGCATCCTGCCCCCCCCCCCACTCACTGGTGGCAACAACCTCTCATTACAGTTTAAAATGCTAACTATTACGTTACCAAATCATTTATTCCTTCTCCACATTTCTTCTGAAACTAACAGTTCTATCGCTAAGACATGTTTACAATTTGGATACAGACATTCTTTCCTCAAAACGCTATCTTATCTGCGTTTCCAACATTTAACCTACAATTCACAACAATATCACATTACATATTGCTGTTGGTGGTTGACCAGCTTCAATGCAAACCCTCAAGAACAGAAATTCCCTGCTCTAATCACCAGCTTTGGTAATTTTTTCAATGCTTATTGCAGATTTTTTTATGACAACTAACTCTTTTATGAGAATGTGGCCCAATCTAAACCCTCAACATTTTCTTCCATTGCTTTTATCCAGACCAAAGTCAGCTTACAACGTTTTGAACAATTATTATGTCAATTTGTTCCAGACTGGCCACATCATGTGATAGGCGGCAAGGAGAGTCCATGTGGAGGGAAGGCAACTGTGTGAGCTGCCTGTGCGATAGCGGACGACCATCCTGCTTCACCGAACTGTGTGAACATCAAGGGCCGTGCAACAACGCCCTACAAGTGAAGAATCAGTGCTGTCCTATTTGTCTTGGTAAGTAGAGTTCCCAGTTATTCTTTTTCTAGTAAATATCGTTTGAACTTTAAATTGGTAATTTTAAATCCGCTGACATTTTTCTTAAAATTCATTTGAGTATTTGCTCTGATATCTGAATTCCTTTGAGATTAAATCTGAGTACTTTGACCGCAGATGTTCCAGAAGAACTAGACAGCAAGATGTGTACTGTGAACAACACCGCATACCTTGTAGGGCAGGACTGGCGAGAAGACGAATGTACTACATGTGAGTGTATTGCTGGGGGAGAGATCTCTTGTACCAAGCTGGTGTGCTCTGTCAACTGTCCCAACCCTGTCAAGAAACCTGGAGTGTGCTGCCATGTGTGTCCAGGTAGGAACTAGCTTAGGGAATAGTTAGACTGTTGCTTTGTATTATTAATGACAAGAGTCATAAGGAACTCCTGAATCACCTTCATTTGATTATTTACGTAGGATAGTGTAAGATTAATGCCGTTGTTTATTTAAGAAAACAAATAACATGCAGACAAATTATCTTGTATCTACTCTTGTTGATTTTTCTTCAAGGTAAGAGTCAGATTTTCTTGCACAAAAAGCTTTTTGACATCCCATCACATAACTGTCAGTTGAAATAATCAAAACTGTGTGATTTTTACTGAAGGGTAATCCTTGCCTGAAACAAATTTACAAAATCAGAACCTTCTCTAACGCCAATAAATTAGGCATATATTTTTTATGAAACTTATTTGTGATGTCTGTTCAAAGATCATATTGGTAAATAACACGTAAAAATAATTTTTTGAGCAAATAAATTTGTAGCTGTCTAAAAATTGATTCACTTGATAATTGCATATAATTAAAAGATGCATGAATGTTATATAAATCCTAACATAGTTGAATTTTTTTCAGAAAACAAACTGTTCTGGACCAGCAGAGAAGTGGTTTACATCGTGGTTCTAGCTTTGGTTGCCTGCTTCTTCGTCTGCCTAGCTGTCTACATTGCCAGGCAGTGCAGGCTGAAGAGGCATCAACTAAAGTTGCCCAACAGTTATGGATGCCCTCCACCCCAATATACCCAGTATAAGTATATGCCTACATATGACACACCCCAGCCACCCCTTACATCTGAGAAGACTGCACTTACACCTCTGTAGATCCGAATCATCTAATAGCTTTATGTAAATCAAATTGAATCATCAAATAGTTCTATTCAAATATAATTGAGTTATCAAATAATTCTAGGTAAATCAGATTGATTCAAAACTAGTTCTACATGAGCTGTGAAGTTGGCTTTAAATTATTACCAGTGAATAATTTTAGTAATTTTTCTCTTTGAATATATACGGTGTGGTGCAAAAGGAAACCCAAACGCCAAGAACTATTTAATGCATATTTCAACAATAATCCATCAGCTGATTGTCAAAAATGGTTCAAAATGTTGTATCTTTTATATTTTAACAGTTTTCCCGAATGATAGGACTATGATAGCCATGCCACAGCACAGTATTAAAAATTAATATTAAACTATTTAATACTTTGTTTTTGGTTTTCCTTTATTTTTCATCAACCAGTATATTTTTAAAGTATTTAAAAAGGTTTTACACATTGAAAATATACAGGCTAACTATACTAGGCCATCATAAATACCAAACATAAAGATTAAAATCACCCTTATAACTATAAACACACATTTAGTGGTTTTACTTTTCCTCTAATTTTACTTAACAATCGAACAAATGGTAGTACAATATTATTTATACGTTTTATTTATAAAATCATTTGCTGTCATTTTCAACTGTGAAAAAACGAATGATATAATTTAACATTCTATATTTATGTGACAATTGTTCAATTTTGTCTATAAAAGTTTTATTATGAAAATAACGAAGAAGAAGTAAATACAAATCATTCATTATTTTTTTTAACTGTCACTGATCCTAAAAAAACCAAACCAGTATATTTTTTTAAATAAATTTGAATTTGAGGATTTTAAGTTGAAATATTGTACATAAACTCATGTGTGCTCTAATAATGTAAAACTGTACTAGCAATGCAAATCATGTCATTATTGGCATAAGTAATTAATGTTATATTTATGTATATAGTGTAATAAACTAATACTATGTACATTTTGTTTAGGCAATGTTGTAATAATTGTTTGATCTCCTTTGAGCTCTAAATTATATTAAAAGTAAGAGTAATTCCCAAATTGGTTTTTAAGGTTCCTTTTGTTGTTCTTTATAGCATTCCTTATAATATTAAACATAGTGAGTTATTTTTTAGCTGGATAGTGTTATTTTGAGCTTTTATAACAGCTGTTATGTAGCCGTAAAGGTGATGGTGATATTAGAATCTTTATTTATTCACTTTACTTTTATGGCTCTGTACATTATAATTTGTAAATTTTTTTATGTTGTAACAATATAATAGACTATGACTTACTAGCAAAAGGCTAAAGTACTTTGTAAATAATAATACTTGTGATTTACGAGTAACATATTTATAAGACTTGTAGATAATAGTAAATACATGTTTGTACAATAGCTGAGAGTATTATTTATACCTTTATACACACACACACAGTTTGAGTAGGCACCTTTAAAATGTATAGGCATTTTTGTACCAAACAAACTAAAAGCAACAATAGGATTGCATAATAATAGATAGTATTTTATAATATATTTGTTATTTTTCTCTCTAGGATTGATACAGTAGCTGTGCAAATGCATTATTAACCAATCCATTAGGTATTAAAAAATTACTAGTTTAAAATTAGTATTGCTCCATTACCAATTCAAGAAAAATCTTCATACATGGACGGTAGCTATAAACACTTATATATTTTATTTTTTTTTTTTAATGCTACAAAACAGCACATGTCAATTATAGTTACCATTATAGGTAACTTATATAGACATCAATGATATGGCGTAACCATTGAACAACAAAAATTGTTAATATGGTTGGTTTCTGAACATTATCATCAGTGCATTCCGTGTCTCACACACATTATGATATAGTAGATAGTTTAAGCAGATCAAGTAAGGATAGTGTTAACGACTCGAAGGCTTGTGCCTTAAAAACTTCAACGAGTGTCTTTGAGTCTATTTACACGAGTTGTGTATACTACTTTACCTACGACAGTATTTTTAATTATTAAAAATCACTACTCATAACTTCTAAGAGAGGTTACCTCTTTATTTATTACCTCTCATTGCCACTGAAAGTGATGCAACGAATCATTGTACCACAAACTAATTGCACCACTCATTAAAAATTAAATTGGTCTAAACAGCTGATTAGTTGACACATTCAAGGCAATAAAATTTTACTTTTTCTCTCTCAATCTTTGAACTTCATTGGTCCATTACCGTGTTATTAAGTAAAACAACAATGCTCTTATGTAAATAAACAATTCTGTTAAGTGAATATTTTCAATTCTAGGAACTGAACTGAAACAGCTACATTAAAAACCTGTCGTAGGTAAAGGCATGTTTCTAATGACAATATGCAATGTTTAAACTTGTTTGTTTTTGCAATTACATGTCTGTATTGACGATTTTGAACTTATAATTTTATTTGAAAACCATGCAACGATGCACAGAGCGTAGTCTTCAACACAGGACGAAGTAATACAGGGTGAATTGATGAGGAGTAACTACAGTAAGTTTCTATCATAATGCATAGTGATAGAAGGATAGTTAGCAAATGTATAAATATGTGTGATATGTTTACCAGCAATTCCTAATCTTAAATTAAATGCACATTTTATTGTTTGAATTGAAATTTCTTAAAATGCATGTGCCTTGATGATTGGTTTCCGCTATCTTGTTAATTCAAAGGAAAGTTAGTTTGAAAGAAGCAAGCTACAAGTGGATCTGTCAATAGCAGAGAAGTATAAAGTTAAATTCAAAGCAGAAAGTTTTCTATTTAAGGATTTTCTCATCTTAAATAAGCTAGACAAGTGATGGAATTACCAATAGTTGGTATCTACCTCTTATTTAGCTGCATATTTTTATGAATTTACCCACATCTCATAATATTTTCATGTTACTATGTTAACCGGTTAAAACTTCTTCCTTTTAAGAGTATGAAATAATAAAATAAATAAAATATTGTGTATCTACTTAGAAATAAAACAATGTATTTATCGGAATTGTTAGTTTCACAACTTAATTAAATACAGATGAAGGATTTTTATTAAATCAAACTTTACAAGTATCTTCAAATTTCTTCTAAAACTAAAACGGAGTATTTCTGAAAAAAAAATAGTTATGCAAACACTTGTTTATAATTGCAACAAAGCAAGATTTTTTTATATCGATTTATGACTATTATAATGGAGGTTATTTTTTTAGTTCATGCTATGCTGTATAATATTTTATTATGAAAAGAAAATATTTTAATCCAATTATAACCATGTGGTTTATAACAACTTGTAATTGGATTTTGTTATTAGATAAGATTTAATTCCCATGATCATGAAAGACTCTTATTTTCTGTATGCTCTTTTATAATTTTCCTAAACAGATTCTGTAAGTGTAAAACACTTGCAAATAAAATTAATCTCTGTTTATAGCAATCCCTGATATTTCATCAAACTACTTATTCCTGTGCTGAATTGTTGAAATTGTTGAAATTTACTTTCCTTGTGACAGTCCACAGGAGTAAATGAGTGAAATAAACACATGCTCACATACGAGCTCGATTAACTTTTAATATTTATTGGTAGTGCGGGGACTATAATAGCAGCAATAAGAGGAAAAATACAACTAGCTTTCGACAAAATAAAACAAAAATTTCACTCTGAAAATTAGCACTTTCCCCCTTTTATTACGCATAATCCAAATAAAATCTTTAAAACTAATACTAAAATGCAAATATTTTTTTTTCTTTTCCAATAATGTCACTGTATACTTTCTACACACTTTGGAATAGTAGCTTTAAATAATTTCTTGAATATGTCACACACAGTGTATAGCTTGCAGTATAAATAGAGATTGGCCAGTATTAGAAGCTCCCGGAGATGAAATAATGAAGTTCTCAGTACAGTTTACGTATGATAAACACATCAGAACTCTTGTCAGCAAAGCGTGGGTGTATCTGAGAGTGCAAGGCTCGAGTACAGCCAGTGCACAACAAATACCTCTGAGTCGACAGCGGCCAAGTGGTGATATTTATGTGTTGTGAGACGGTCTATTTGTAGTCTTGAGGTCAATTGGTCGAGCTCACTTATAAATACCCTGGCTTCATTGTACTGGCCAGCCTGTTACCTGGTATATCATAGATTTACACACAAAAAATGGGTGAGGAAAATATTGTCGTTTTGTATGACAGATTTATAGTTTTTAATCTTAAATTCTTAGGCTACATGGTAATTCAGATTATTTTGGATTAATAGATTGGTGGTTAAATTGTTTATTTTTCACAATTATCATTAAAGCAAATTTTATCCCTTGAAACGATTTTTGTAAAAGCACTGAAAAGAAAAATAAATAAATATAAACATTATTTTACACTAACCCTTTAACACTATTACTTGAAAATGAACCATAAATAATTATTTCTTACTGCATTATGTTCATTGATATAATTTACCATCCCTTATCGTTTAAGAAAAAAAAAGTTTCAGCATTTTGCATTACTATTCTTTTATTGTCAGATAAAGAAAATATATTAAACAAAACATAAACAAAAGAAAATATATTAACTAAAACATAAACAAAACAAAATGCTATTAAAAACATCCATTTTTCATTTCATATTTAAATGTTTAACTAAAATGGCAACACTGATAAATATATTTAAAACCCTCTGATCCTATAAGAGGTTATGATGCAACTTGCAACCTACCTCTATTCAGAAGCAAAATAAAATAACTACTACGGCATACAAACCAAGCACTAAAAGAGATTGCCATAATTGTATGAATCTAAAATATGTCTTTTGACTAACTAAAACGTAAATTGGCGAACTTCTGGTTTGAAACTCAAGCGTAAAGGACCCTTGTTTCACGAGACCTAATTGTTCTGTATTTTGACTTTTTATTGAATGGATGACACAATTAAATTTACAAAAACAGTTTTCAGATTAACTATCTATACTAATAGACTAACCATTCAAACCAAATGTATCCTAACAATTGTTATTAAAAAGCTTAAAACTGAACTAACTTAAAAAGTTAAAATTACGTTATACATGTGTTATTGTAAGCATTTGTTATAGTGTACGATATTATACTAACCTGGCAAATTTAAGCTGATAATGTACAGTTAAAATAACATATGATGTAGAGGAAAACAATATTAAAACATGCGTTTATGTTTATGTTTACATTTAAGTTTTGGACAAATCAAACAACAGTTAAAGAAATAAACAACTGTTAAATTAAGTGATATTTTTGTACATTATAACATTGACTATAAATAGAATAGACTGCCCAAGTAATTTATTAATTTGAAGCCAAAGAACGTGGTGAAATATATTGAGACGGTCTACCAACTAGTGACGATATCATATAGTGTCTATATATCAAGGAATAAATCAATCAGCTGTTTGCTATGATACTGCATTGATTTTAATTAATAGTTAACCCTAATAGTCAAAGATAGTACCCTAAGGTAAGATTGTCCTGAACTTCATCTATTTTCTTGGATTTAAATTTTTTAGTTAAATGTGAAGTTGATTCTGTGTATAGTTAATAATTATACTCATATTTTAACAACATTATTTTTGTTTAGAAATCTATCGTAGTATATTTTAACGAAGCGCCAACACAGAACTGATTTCATTTAATGTTCCACTATCCGAGTACCTAGTGTGAAAGACAATATGGTGGCCACTAAAGTAGTTCACATTTACAGCCCATAAACACTGCGCATTTCATACAATAAACTCTGTCTGTCTTATTGTATTTTGTGGGCCGAACCAAAGTGGCTTTTCTTGTAAAAAGAACTTGCTTTCCGCCATTTCCTTGGATAAGTTATACATCAATAGCTTGTATTAATTTTATGTATTAGTATTTTAAATATTATTCAACGTTTTACATAATATTACTTTGCTGTTTCAATCGCCATTGTATTTTAATGTTTGGTACATAAGATAAACTAAAACTAAAACCTATCAAAATTGACAATTATGTTAAACTTAACAGCACAGATGAACAGTATAGTTATAAAGAAATCCGTCACATGACCAGTTTTTAGATTTAATTTAATTAAAATAAGTTCATTAAGCAATAGCTAACTCATATTTACTATGTAAACCTACATTTCACATATTGAAAATACGATACATAAAAGTTGCATAGTAATAACAAAATAATCTACCAATTTTAACTTGGTACTAACATAGGTAAAAGGAGTGTCTACTCCTTTTATCTATGGTACTAATAAAACAGCAAATGTAGGTTTCGTTACTGTCAGTCACGGTTCTTCTGATCCAGTTCTTGTATTTATTTCATATATCAACACATTTTAGCGAATTTCCCTATAGGGAAGTAGCTATTACCGTAGGTGGCACGGTAAGACCTAGACCCGGGACC